GAGGCTGAGGCGGATGGATCACTTGAGGTCAGGAGTTTGAGACCAGCCTGGCCAACATGGTGAAACCCTGTCTCTACTAAAAAAAAACAAAATTTAGCCGAGCATAGTGGCAGGTGCCTGTAATCCCAGCTACTTGGGAGGCTGAGGCAGGAGAATCACTTGAACCCAGGAGGCAGAGGCTGCAGTGAGCCAAGATCATGCCACTGAACTCCAGCCTGGGCGACAGAGTGAAACTCAAAAGGAAGGTGGGTAAGGAGAGTCCAGTATGAACAATGCCATTTCTCCCTGCTGAGGAAGGGGCCTAGATAGCTCTAAAGCAAAGTGAGAGTCCAAAGTCTCTGGGGTCCTGGGCACCTTGCCCTTCTGAGGTCAGGATGGGTATCTATTTGCCCTTCAGTAAACACTCTATGTGTTTTCCCCTTCTGTGTCAGCTCCCACGCTGCTGCTTGTGTCTGGGATGTGCTCCCCTTCACTTTGCTACCAGTGAACTCCTTCCTATTCAGCCCTCAAGGCCTCATGTCAGTGTCATCTCTGTCATATTCCCAGGGGAAGTTATTGCCCCCAAACCCTAGAGCAAGATGCTTAAGAGAGTTGGGGTTGGACAAAATATGCTTTTCCGGCCACTTTCTTCTTGGGTAAAGGGCACCTCAGTGTCCTTACTTGGGGCCTGGACTAATGTAATAGAGGCTGAGTTCTCTCTGCTATAAGATACATCCAATAGGGGAGTGGTTTCCCCAGAGGAATCTGGGGTTTCTCTCTCTCTCTCTCTCTTTTTTTTTTTTTCCTTTTTAAAGACAGGGTTTCACCATGTTGGTTAGGCTGGTCTTGAACTCCTGACCTCAGGTGATCCGCCTGCCTTGGCCTCCAAAGTGCTTGGATTACAGGCATGAGCCACCGAGCCCGGCTGGAATCTGGGGTTTCTCAATAAGAATGTGACATTTTGGCTTCCCAGAAATGTAAAAAATAAAGAGCGTGGCAGGGTGGCTGCTCTGTCTCCCCCAAACCCCTGTGAAAGGATGGACATTTTCTTCCTAGGGTCCAGATGGGAGAGGGTATCTCACTCATTCATTTCACAAATATTTCCTGTGTAACTGTTATGTACCAGGCACTGTCCTGGGGATGAATAAGAGAGACAAAGACCTGGGCCATGAACCTCACAACGAATGTGTGTGTAGGGGGGGGAAATACTACACGGAACAAGCAGTTAATGGTTAAAAACTGTGACAAGGGGAAGCACAGCAATTTCTGGGGGAGGTCAAGGATGCCTTCCCCAGGGTGGTGGCACTTGAGCTAAAATGGAAGTATGAAAGTAAGCTGGGATTGAAGGGTTTGTGGTGCAGGCAAGGCACCTGCTAGGGGCTTGGGACCAGCTGGTTATCTGGGGTTCTGTGGGGTCCAGGGATTGCTGTACTCCTTTGAGTATTCACAAGGACAGAGACTGGGTTGACTGACTCTTCCCTCTGCCCTGGCCAGCACAAGGCCTGGCTAAGTGGCCTTGGGTGATAGGTAATGCTCCAGTATGGGCCCCCAGACATGGGCATCTCTGGATCCTAGACTCTTGGAGCTGATGGCCCAAGATGTCATAGGGAGCTCTCATGGCACATACAGGCCAGGCAGCTGAGGCCCAGAGGAGGAAGTGACTTGCCCAAGGTCACATGGCCATCTAGTGTCAGAGGCAGAGGCAGAAGAGGAGCCCACACATGCCAGGACTTCAGCTTCCTCACTCCTTTCTTCAGACCTCAAATGGAAAATCCCATCCCAGAGAGGTGCCTCTGCCAGGGGTGGGAAGAGCTGAGAAGGAAGTGAGGCCAAGGGACTCTCCCCTGCCCTCCCCTCCCCTTGACACCTTCAGGGGCTCCTTCCAGCTGTCTTTCCCTCACCCTTCTCTTGGAAATTCCCCTTGGGCCTGAAAGGGGCTCTCAATTAGTGTGCTCTCCCCCCCACTATTACCTCCCTGCAGGACTCCTAGCAAGGGCTGAACTGGGGTGGCCAAGCCCTGTGGCCCCCAAAATCTGCATTCTCTTGTCAGCAGAAGGCAGAGTGAGAGTCTCCCCTCAGCACCTGCTCCTTGGAAATCCCTCTCTCTTCAGACCCTCAAAGCTATCTCAGCTGCTCATGGCCTGTCACATGCTAAAGAAAACGAATAAGAGGAGGCATTGTATGTTATTTGGGCCACAGTGAACATAGCAGGGTTGGAGGAGCAGGGCCACACACCTTCCTTGTGCAGACCCCAAGGCCACCTCCAGCCGGTTTGCAGACTTGGGGAAGGCAGCCAAGTTCCTGCAGCTTCCTTGGGTAGGAGGAGTGACATCTCTGTCCGCCTCCCCTAGCGTTAGTTATACCCCACTGTAGTTTATGCCCTTGTGCTCCACTGTTCTGTGGGGCCGATTTGTTAAAGGACTGTCAGCCCCACTCGCAGGGTGCCCAGCTCTGTGCTTGGCATGGAAGGGGAGACGGAGACAGCTCAGCCCACAGAGGATTTAAACCCTGAATCGTGCAGCAAAGTACGTGATTCTCAGCAGGCTCCTGGTAGAGAGATTACTAAGTGAGGCCTCCTGTCTGCTTAGGACACCCCCCTTTCCAAGTCTAGCTAGGTGAGGTCTTCCCCACCATTTTCTTTTTTTTTTTTTCTGAGGAGGAGTTTTGCTCTTGTTACCCAGGCTGGAGTGCAATGGCATGATCTCGGCTCATCGCAACCTCCGCCTCCTGGGTTCAAGCATTTCTCCTGCCTCAGCCTCCCAAATAGCTGGGATTACCGGCATGCACCACCACGTCCAGCTAATTTCGTATTTTTAGTAGAGATGGGGTTTCTCCATGTTAGTCAGGCTGGTCTTGAACTCCTGACCTCAGGTGGTCCGCCCGCCTCGGCCTCCCAAAGTATTGGGATTATAGGCATGAGCCACCGCACTTGGCTTTCCCCACCATTTTCTAAGAGGGTCACGAGGCATTCCAGCTCACTCTTGTGGTTCCTGGAGTTCTGGTCCATGTGTCTTCCATACCACCTACTTCTTCCCACCAGTCCTAGCCTAGCCTCTCCTATGTTCTTGGCAGTGGGTAGTACTCCTCCCACCAGATCCTGGAGCAAGCACTGCGTTTGCAGTGAAAGTATTTATGCACTATCATCACCACCTCCATCAGTATGCAAGCATCACTGTTGCTACTACAGCTAATCTACAAGCCCCACCATCTCCACCTCCACCAGTTTCTATTAAACACATAGGTGCACCTACTGTGTGCTGAGCCTGGGGTTACTAAGAGGAGTTACACAATCACTGCTCTTGAGGAAACTATGTCTTTTTATTTATTTATTTATTTATTTTTAATTGAGACGGAGCTTTGCTCTTGTTACCCAGGCTGGAGTGCAATGGCGTGAATTGCCTGGGTTCAGGCAATTCTTCTGCCTCAGCCTCCTGAGTAGCTGGGATTACAGGCATGCGCCACCGTGCCCAGCTAATTTTTTTGTATTTTTAGTAGAGACGGGGTTTCACCATGTTGACCAGGATGGTCTCGATCCCTCGTGATCCACCCGCCTCGGCCTCCCAAAGTGCTGGGATTACAGGCTTAAGCCCTTGACACAGGACACCTGTGGGGAAGACAAAGGTGGGAGCCCCAGGCAGCCTAGAAGAAGGCTTTTACCTCTTTCTCTTTCTTTTCTTTTTTTTCCATTCTGTGGCCCAGTCTGGAGTACAGTGGCCTGATCTCAGCTCACTGCAACCTCTGCCTCCTAGGTTCGAGGGATTCTCCTGCGTCAGCTTCCCAAATAGCTGGGACTACAGGCACCCACCACCACGCCCAGCTGCTAATTATTTATTCATTTTTTTAGTGGAGATGGGGTTTTGCTGTGATGGCCAGGCTGGCCTTGAACTCTTGACCTCAAGTGATCCACCTACCTTGGCCTCCCAAAGTGTTGGGATTATAGGCATGAGTCACAGCACCTGGCCCTTAACAATTTTTTTTGTAGAGATAAGGGTCTCTCTCTGTAGCCCAGGCTGGTCTTGAACTCCTGGGCTAAAGTGATCTTCCTGCCTTGGCCTTCCAAAATTCTGTGATTATCTGAATAAGCAACCATGCCCAGCCTAGAAGGCTTCTAGAAGAGGTAAGACTTGGCTTGAGCTTTGAAAAACTAAGGTTATAGCAAAGAATATCACTGGAAAGAAAAAGAAAAGAAAAACTAAAGTTAGTATAAGGGGAGATGCGTGAGGGTCACTCAGCTCCACAGAGGCAGGCACAGATGTGGCTGGTTTCACATACCCGTATCTTTGTGCCTGCATGTCCCATACACAACCAACTGTAGATATGGGCACATACTTAATAAACACAATTGCACAGCCATACAGGCACACAAAAGCACATGTAATTACAGTCCTTTTTTTTTTTTTGATAGGTTCTCTCTGTTGTCTAGGCTGGGAGTGCAGTGGTGCAATCTCTGCTCACTGCAGCCTTGACCTCCTGGCTTTAAGCAATCCTCCCACCTCAGCCACCAGAGCAGCTGGGACTACAGGCGCGAACCACCAAGCCTGGCTAATTTCGTTTTTTTTTTTTTTTTTGTAGATAATGGGGTTTCACTATGTTGCCCAGGCTGGTCTTTTTTTTTTTTTTGAGACAGAGTTTTGCTCTTGTTACCCAGGTGGAGTGCAGTGGCTCGATCTCAGCTCACTGCAACCTCCGCCTCCTGGGTTCAGGCAATTCTCCTGCCTCAGCCTCCTGAGTAGCTGGGATTACAGGCATGCGCCACCGTGCCCAGCTAATTTTTTGTATCTTTAGTAGAGACGGGGTTTCACCATGTTGACGAGGATGGTCTCGATCTCTTGACCTTGTGATCCACCCGCCTCGGCCTCCCAAGGTGCTGAGATTAGAGGCTTGAGCCACCGTGCCCGGCCCAGGCTGGTCTTGCATGGCTGTACTCAAGAGATCCTCCCACCTCAGCCTCCCAAAGTGCTGGGGCTATAGGCATGAGCCACTGCACCCAGCTGTAATTACAGTCTTAGAGATAAACATATTTGGTTGGGCACGGTGGCTAACGCCTATAATCCCAGCACTTTGGGAGACCGAGGTGGGTGGATCACCTGAGATCAGGAGTTCAAGACCTTTGGCCAAGATGGTGAAACTCCATGATACTAAAAATATAAAAATTAGCTGGGTGTGGTGGCATGCACCTATAATCCCAGCTACTTGGGAGGCTGAGGCAGGAAAATCTCTTAAACCTGGGAGGTGGAGGTTGTACTGAGTGAAGATGGCGCTACTGCACTCCAGCCTGGGCAACAGAGTGAGACTCTGTCTCAGAAAAAAAAAAAAAAAAAAAGATAAACATATTTACCCATGCACATAGGCCAATTATTACTCAAATACACAAAAATCAGTGATCGTCACGATTACATAGTGAAATACACAAAAGCATTCATCCAGACATGAAAACAGACTCAATTATATGGATACAGCTCATACAGAGATGAACTCTAAAGAGAGGAACCCACATGTTCAGGGTCACAGATACACAACTACACAGCCACACTCAAGGACTCAATTGCAAATGTTCAATTACATGCTTGCCTTCAAGGTCAGGCAGAGACACAGATAAGCAGGAGAGGTGGTAGCATGGAGCAGTGGGTATCACAGTCTGGGTCTGAGTCCTGGCTCTGTAGCTTAATGCTGTTTGACTTTGGGCCAGTCAGTTGACTTCAAGGAACTTCAATTTCCCTATCTGTAAAATGGGTATGATAAAAGTACCTACCTAGGCCTGGCATGGTGACTTACATTACATCTGTAATCCCAGAACTTTTAGAGGCTGAGGTGGGTGGATCACTTGAGGTCAGGAGTTCGAGACCAGCCTGGACAACATGGCAAAACCCCGTCTCTACTAAAAATACAAAAATTAGCTGGGTATGGTGGAGTGCATCTGTAATCTTAGCTACTTATGAGGCTGAGGCAGGAGAATCGCTTGAACCTGGGAGGCAGAGGTTGCAGTGAGCTGAGATTGCGCCACTGCACCCCAACCTGGGCGACAGAGCAAGCCTCTGTCTCCAAAAAAAAAAAAAAAAAACAAACAAAAAAAGTACCTACCTTACACAATTGTATTGTGGACAAAATGAAGTAATGCATGAAAGCAGCACAGACCCTGGCACATAGTAAACACTAAGTAAAAGGGTGCTACTATTATTTTGAACATCATAACTACAGAAATACAGTCAGTTCGATACATTTGTACACGCAGGCACGTGACACTCATGGGGAGGTGACTGGTGGGCTCTAGCGGCAGCAGGGCTTCAGACCCGTCTTCTCCCAGCTCCCTTGCACTCCTCAGAGCTGTAGGTAGCCTCTGGGCTGAGAGAGCGGGCAACGCTCCTGCCCCGCCTGGACCGGCCAGGCCTTTCCATGAGCGTTCTAGGCTGGGCGGCTCAGCAGGTCTCCCAGGTCCCGGGAGGGGCGGAGCCGACGGGATGCGCGCCAGGCCCCGCCCCTCATCCGGCCCCACCCCCGGCCTGGCCATTGGCCGCAGAGCTCGGGGGCGTGGTCGAGCTGGGGCTGGGGGCGCCCGCGGTGCCAGCCCGCGAGTCTCGCTGCCTCCCTCCCGGGGCTGCGGGCCCGGCGGCCTGGCTGGCTGGGCCGCTCTTGGGTTCCCACGCCAGTTCCCGCGCCCGCCATGGGCAACTCACACCACAAGAGGAAGGCCCCCAGCGGTCCCCGGGTCCGCAGCTTCTGGCGGTTCGGGCGGTCGGCGAAGCGGCCCGCAGGTAGGGGCCGGGGTGGGGGCGGGGCAGGCAGGGAGGAGGGTCCCTGCTGCGGCCGTCGCCACCGCTGCTGCCCCCTCCCGGGGCCTAGAGGGTGTGAGTGTGGGGGGTCGGGAATACCCGCGCAGACCCCACCCCTCACAGGCACACGGAGACACACGTACACGGTAATACCCACTGATGGGCATACGTACATGTTCGCAGTTTACACGGTCACACGCACGACACCCACTCAGATGTACGGACACGCAGACACAGGAGCATATACACCATCACACCCACACCCTCGCACCACCGCAGTAGGACGACAGAGCCCGAGACACAGGTACATGTATACCTATGCATGCAGTTTACACAGCCACACGGACTACACCCACGCACAAATCCAGACACAGGCACACAGCCGTTCACACACATCGGTCATGTGGGTACAGTTGCCCAGCGTCTTAGGCACACAGATGTACACACAGGTTCGTAACTGCATAGCCTACCAGACTCCCACTCAGGCTCACAGCAGACCCTAAGGCACTCCGACACACACACACGCTTATTCCCCAGATCTTAGCCCCCAACAGGCTGAAGGCTGAAAGTTTGTAGGAGGGAGGGGAGACAAAGGTGGAAGGGAGAAGCTGGAAACCCGGGGCTGGAGGCTCGGGACCGCCTCCATCTGGCGCGATCGGGAGTCGGACTGGTTTTCTTGGCTCCCTCTCTACCCCCACCCGCCCCACCGCGGCTTCTCTCCGCTCTCCCTTCCGTCCCCCGCGGTCCCCGAGGTCGCCGCCGCATCTCCCCCCTTTCAATGCAGCCACCGAGCTGGAACGCAGCCCTGGCCGTCTGCTGCGGGATCCCTCCGCGGGTCACATTCCAGGCTCCAAGGGGGAGGGGAGGGAATGGGGAAGGCCTCCAACCCCAGTGTGGGGAGATGGGATTCCTGTTTCCCCCAGCAAGTGCAACAGTTCAGGGTATCCCCGCGGGGTGCTGGAGGAGGGGCCACCGAGAGTGCCTCGTTTTCTTACTGGTGAATCCAGAGATGGGGGAAGGGCAGGGTGATGAAGTCATTCCCCCTCCCCAAGATAAAGGGTCTTCAACATAGGCAGGCACCCTAGGGGTACCTGTTGGTCTGGGGGAGTGAGGGAATCCCAGAGGAGGTGGGGTGAAGGGGGCCCTGCCGTGGTGGGAGAATCCACGGGTGTATTCCCAGGATGGCCCACATTCCTAGAGATTCCGAACCGGAGCTTGATGATCTCATCTCTCCATGGAGTCGGTGGTGGAAAGAGCCTGGGCTGGGAAGTGGGGGACCTCTCTTCTCAATGAACCTCCGGAATAAGCTCTGGTGACCTTGAGCAGGTTCCTTTCGCTTCTCTGGACCACCCTGGCTCCTACAGGGGGCCTGTCTGTGAAATCTGGAGCCTTAGGTGACTTCTTGGGACCCTTACCGTCTAGCTAGCCATCTCATGGATAAAGAGACTGAGGTCCAGGAAAGAGGGACTTGTCCAAGGTCATTTGCCTCTGGTGGTTTGAGGTAGTAATATAATAAAAAATGACAGTAAGAAAAGGGTTAACTAAGTTCAGTTAGGCTCTTTGATGATTTCTCAGAAGGTTAAGTGTTAATGAGAATCTCCAGGACCTTCCAGCACTCTCCCTGCCGCAGCAGTCCTGAAAGTCCTGTCTATGCCTACCTGTCTCTCCTAGAATCTGCACTAAGGGGGCAGCGCTGGGGCTCTTCATCTGTCCTCTGATGGCATCTCCGATCTGATGGTTTCCTAGGAACTGTGGGCCCAGACTTGTGACCATATGTGAGGAGGGAGAGAGAAGATAAGAAGGCTGTGTTTATAGTCTCTTGCCTACTGGCCCTTGAGAAAGTGGCCTGGGGCTTCCAGCAACCCTTGTGAGCTTTCAGCTCCTGCTGCAATTCATGAGTCAACTCAGGCTTTAATGTGTTCTGAAAAATATTAGAAACTAATGGCAAGACAACACAGAAATTAACTGTGGGGGCTAGGAATATTCTAGACTATATATCAAAAGCCTTCTGGGTTGGGATCAGCTTTAGAAAATTGAGGAGATGGTCCTAATTTGGTCTTTGAAGTAACCACTGGATTGAAATTAGTCCTAAATTGTTCATTAAATAGGAGAACTGGGGATTCCTTTCAGCTGTGGGGTATGGTCTTGAGCAAAGGCATGGAGTTGAGGTCAGGCAAGATGGCTCACACCTGTAATCCCAGCATTGTAGGAGGATCACTTTAGCCCTGGAGTTCAAGAGCAGCTTGGGGCAACATGGCAAGATCCCCCCCGCCCCCCCCGCATTTCTACATAAAATAAAACATTAGTTGGACATGGTGGCATGTGTGCCTGTGGTCCCAGCAACTTGGGAGGCTGAAGTGAGGGGATCACATGAGCCTGGGAGGTCAAGGCTGTGGTGAGCCGATGATACCACTGCACTCCAGTCTGGGTGACAGTGAGACCCTTTCTTAAAAACAGTGAATGGGCTTGAGACCCTTTCTCAAAAAAAGTGAATGGTTCATACCTGTAATCCCAGCACTTTGAGAGGCTGAGGCGGGTGGATCACCTGTGGTCAGAAGTTTCACCTTGGCCAACATGGTGAAACCCCCTCTCTACTAAAAATACAAAAACTAGCCAGGCACAGTGGTGGGCACCTGTAATCCCAGCTACTCGGAGGCTGAGTTAGGAGAATCGCTTGAACCCAGGAAGTAGAGGTTGCAGCTAACCAGGATTGAACCACTGCATTCCAGCCTGGGTGACAAGAACACGACTCTGTCTCAAAAAAAAAAAAGCGATGGAGTTGAGACTGAACATGGAGGTGGAAGGGAAAAGTAGTTGAGTGTCCTTCTCCTGAGGTTCCATTACGAATGTAAACCTCAGTACCTTTGGTTTTACTTGTGCTGAGATCCTAAATCATCCTCGGCCTCAGCCTCTGCTGTGGCAGGCCGAGGTGGGGATTGGAGCTTGAGTATTTGTCCATTTCATTCATCTGTGAGAGGAGGAAGGAGAGAGTACAAGGCAGGCAGAGAGGACAGGAGTCTGCAGGCCATAGGGAGCCAGTGAAGGTGCTTGAGCATGGGAGGAGCCTACAAGTGGTGTGTTAGGAAGATGGCTCTAGGTTGGGGGCAGGTGCAGGCAGGACAGGTTGAGGGGTGGGTGGGGTGGTGAGAGTGGAGGTTCAGAGACTGTTGCAGTAATCCAGGGGAGAGGTAATGAGGTGAGGGCTGGGGACAGGGTCCGGGCTGTGGGAGTGGAGAGGAGTGAAAGTGGCAGAGACACTTTGGAGGAAGTGGCAGAATTGATGGGACCTGGGATTAACCTGATGTTGAGAGTAAGGGCCAGAGGGAGCTGAGTGGGCTTCTGTGCTTGAGGCTGCTTGGCTGGGAGATGGCAGGAGAGATAAAAATAGGGTCCTGTGCTGCCTCTTTGCATGAGTTAATTCATTTTTCCTTTGACTGGCTGTTCTCCCATTTTAGAGGTGAGGAAGCTGGAGCTCAGAGAGGTGAAGTCATTCTCCCAAGGCCACACAGCAAGGAGATGGCTGAATCTGGATTCAAACTCAAGCCTGTCACATTACAAAGCCTGTGCCCTTAATCCATTTAGGAATAGAGGGGTGTCATCTTATGATGGAGGTGCTTGCAGGTCCCCTGGGCAAAGAAGCCTACAGCCCAGGGGATTTGGACTATGTAGAGAGGACTAGTGGAGGAAGCACGGTGGGGAGGATTAGGGGTTGAGGACTAAGCATTAAAGCCTCCAAGGGCTTAGAGAGGGAGCAGGTGGGAAGGGGAAATCAAGACTCAAGGAAGGATTGATCCCTCAGATCAAATGCCCTTGGAAGGTAGAGAAGGGTGAAGATGTACGAGATAAGGCCTCCTGACTGCTGGAAAGACACTGTAACCTGCCGGGTTTGGCCTTGGCACTCAGGGATCCACCCAACTCTCCCCTTCCCAGGCTAGCTGGGCACTTGGTCCTGGGCAGGTCGGGGAATGGTGGTGGATGTGAATTGGGAGCCCAGGAAGACCCGTCCTTTTCCTGTTCCCATTAGTTTTGCATGGTCAAGCTCACACACATGGCCCTCCTTCTGGTTGGATTTATTCTTCCCATTGTGCACACGGGGAGACTGAGGGAAGGGACTGCTAGAGTCAGACCATCTGGAATTCTTTTCATCCCTCCCACTGCCTGTAGACCTGTAGGTTTAACCTTTTGGAGTCCAGGGTCCACAGCTGGAGAAGGCTCTCTCCTTCATTCCCCTCATGTCTCCTCCCATTTCTTGGGGGGAGACTTGTGACCAACTGCTTGGGTGACTTGTTTGTGGGAGCCCTGGACTTCTAGATAAGAGGCTGGTCCAGTTGTCTCTGATCTGAAGGATCTGAGATAGCGAATCTCCTTGTTGACCCAGGCCTTGACTCAAAGCGGAACCACTGACCTCGTTCCTTCTAGGGACAGAGTCATCCATAGTGAGGGCTCTTTGGAGATCATCTCTTCAACCCTCCCACATCCCAGATGAAGAAACTGAGGCCCAGAAAAACACAGTGCCTGGCTCAGGATCATGCTGCAATTCAGGGGAAATGAAAGCTCCAACCTAGGACTCCTCACTCCAGGGCAGTGAGATCTGCTCTGGGCCTGGAATTCCCTTCCCTCCCAAACTGAGGGGTTAGGGCTGCCAGAGAGGGGTGTCACTAAAAAGAGCTAGGGAGCTGATGTCAAGTGTTCCTTATCAGACCTTATCTTAATGGTCCTTAACTCTACTTGAGATTTGAAGAGAGCTGGAGTGGGTGGAGAGGAGGCTGCTGCTGACATGGGGAGAACATGATTTTGCAGCTAGTCAGAGTTGGGCTCATATCCTGCCTCTGCCATTACTAGCAGTGTGACCTAGGGAAAGTTTCTGACCCTTGGGGTCAGGGTTTACGCTGGATTGTGTGGCTTTCTTTAAGGTTCCCAGGCACTCTGTGAGGTAGGTATTAGTCCCACCTTACAGATGAGGAGACTGAGGCCCAGAGAGG